TTTTTTTTTTTTTTTTTTTTTGGTACTGGGGATTGAACTCAGGCCCTTGTGCTTGTGAGGCAGGCAGTGGAACCACTGAGCCAAATCCCTGGCCTGGTAGGTTTTTAATTATGTCTTCAATTACATTGACTTATATTTGTTTATTTTGAATTTTTATATCTTCTTGATTCAGCTTTGATAATTCATATGTACCTAGGGATCTGTCCATTTCTTCTGTGTTTTCCATTTTACTAGAATATAGGTTCTTAAAGTAGGTATTTATGATCTTCTAGATTTCTGCAGGATCTGTTGTGATTTCACCCTTTTCATTCCTAATAGCATAGATTTGAGTCTTTCTTTCCTTTTTGATAAGATTGGCTAAGTGTTTGTCAATTTTATTTAATCTTTCAAAGAACCAACTCTTTGATTCATTGATTCTTTGTATTAGTTTCTTGGTCTCAATTGTATTAATTTCTGCTATGATCTTTATAAGTTCTTCCCTCATACATGCGTTGGGCTTAACTTGCTCTTCTTTTTCTAGAAGACTGAGGTTCAACATTAGCTTGTTTATTCAAGATTGGTCTGTTTTTTTGTTTTTTGTTTTTTGTATGGTGGATTGAACTTGGATCCTTGCGCTTGCATGGCAGGTGGTAGAACCATTGAGCTAAATCCCTGGGCTTTGGTCTGTTTTTTTAATATAGGAATTTACTGCTGTAAATTTCCTTCATAGGACTACTTTCATTGTGTCTCATAAATTTCAGTATGTTGTATTGGCATTATTGTTTAATTGTAGAGACTTTCTAGTTTCTTCTTTAATTTCATCTGTGACGCATTGGTTGTTCAAGAGAGTATTATTTAATTTCTATGTGTTCAGAAGTTTTTGTGATTTCTTTTCCCATTGATTTCCAATTTAATTGCATTATGATCTGATAATATGAAAGGAATAATTTAAATTCCTTTGCATTTACTTAAGCATGTTCTATGATCTAGTATGTGGTCTATTTTAAAGAATATCCATGTGCAGCTGAGAAGAATGTGAATTTTAATGTTGTGGGATGGAACACTGTAGATATCTACTAAGTCCATTTGTTCAAAAGTTTGTTTCAATTCTGATATTTCTTCGTTGATTTTTTGTACAGTTGGTCTATTTGTGAGAATGAGGTGTTGAGGTCCCTCATTATGCTTGTATTAGTACTTATTTAATTTTTCATGTCTGTTAATATTTATTTTATATAGTTGGGCATGCTGATATGTGGCGCATATATATTAATGGCTGTTTTCTCTTCCTCTTGGATTGTTCCTTTTACTAGGATAAAGTGACCTTCTTTGTCTCTGTTAGTCTTGGCTTGAAATCTGTTTTGTTGCAAATAGAATAGCTGCCTCTACTTTTTTTCTGGGTTTCTATCATGTGAAATATTGTTTTCCATTTTTTTACTTTCAGTCTGTGAATTTATTTTTGAATTAAATGTGTTTCTTGTATGCAGAATATTGTTGGATCTTGCTTCTTGATCTATTCTGCTAGTCTGTTTCTTTTGATTGGTGAGTTGAGAACTTTTACACTGATGGTTATAGCTGATATGCATTGACTTATCTTTGTCATGTTGTTTTCCTATTGTTGGTTCCCTTTTACTCCTTTCTGTTTAATTACTTTCCTTGCCTGGTGGATTCACTCTGTTGGGCTTCTTGAAGTTATAGTTCTCATTATCTCTTTCTAGAATGTCTTGGAGTGCTGATTTGGTGGCCATGAATTTCTTTGGGTGTTCTTTGTCATGGAAGTATCTTCTTTCTCCATCAACTTTGAAAGATAGTTTTGTAGAGTATATCAATCTGTGATGGGGGTTATTTATTTTTAGAGCTTGAAATACTTCACTCCAAGCTCTCCTTGACCTGAGGGTTTGTTGAGAAGTCTGCTGTGATTCTGATGGGCTTTCCTTTATAGGTAATTTGCTTCTTTCCTCTAACAGTTTTTAATATTCTGTTCTTGTGTTGAATTTCTGGAATCCTGACTATTATATGTCTTGGTATAGATTTTTTTTCATGGCTAATTGGAGTTTTATATGCCTCACTTATCTGTATGTCAAATTCTTTTTCCATGCTTTGGAAGTTTTCTGCCATTACTTTGTGAACATGTTTTTTATGTTGTTTGTGCTATCTCCTGCTTTTTCACTGACTCCAATCAACCTTATGTTCTTCTTTGCATCATCTAGCTGTTGGTTTGATTTTTCATAATCCTTTGCCATTTTTAAGAGATCCTTCTTTTCATAATCACTAACTGCAATCCTACCTTCTAGAGCTGATATTCTGTCCTCGCACTGGCTCATTCTGCTGCATGTAGTTTCAGTGGAATTTTAAATCTCTTGGATATCTATTTGAATCTGTTTTATGGATTCCATTTCTTTCCTGTGTTGAGTGTTCAAGGTTTTCATCATTTTACTAAGTTTCTCTACTTTTAAAAATCTGTATATGCTTAAGAGTCACTAACCATGTCTTTTGTTATGGTTACCATCTGTCTAGTTATCTGAGAAATTATTTCTGATTTGATTTTTTTCTAAAGCCTCATTCATCTACTTTGTTACTTCCACTGTTATCTCTTCAGAGAGTCCATGTGGGTGGCTTTTGAATTATTGTACCTCATTGCCCCCTGGGATTTTCTTTGGTGAGGTGGGATTTTCTTTGCATCTTGCTTAAGTGTCTTGTCATTTTCATTTTTTAAAGTTTAATCCCTGGGTTGAAGCTTGTAAATTTCTTAAAGTACATAGCTTTATTGCTAGTATTTAGAACTCTTACTAAATGACTACTTCTCATTTATTCTAGGTGTAGCTGGCTTTTGGATTTTGAGTCTGTTATAAGAACCTATCTTTTCAAATTATTGGGGATGAGAGTTGCTGCCAAGTTGGGCTAGCCCCTGGTTCTTCAACACTGGGCTATAGTATTTTTTATGACCCTTAGGAAATCTCAGTCCTGGCATTCCAGGAAGAACAACTGATTCAAACAATTATGAACAATTCAAACAATTATGAATTACTTGGCTTAAGTAGTATGATCAGCAGTAACAATAGCATCAAACACAGCCTAGAAAATTACAAACTGTGGTAACTATTAATTTGCCATCTTTTACTATATGAACTATATTTGTGGTTATATATCAAAATCTATAACAAACCAGAAAATTATATAGAGTCAGTATGTCCTCAATATGGCAATTTTACCCTCAAGAGAGAAAATTTAAAAGGAGTTAGGGGGAAAATAGAGAAATAGAAGAAGAACAAGAAATTAGAAGCAAGGAGGACAAAGGAAGATTATGCTAACTTTGCGAAGCTGGTGAAGAAGACAGGAGGGAGAGAAGAAATTTAAAAAAAAAAGAACAGAACAACAATAAAAGCAGAAAAATGTTCACATTCATATAAAAAGACAGGAAAAAAGAAAACAGTAAAAGAAGGAAAATATGTCACTTCAGGGCATGTCACTGCTGCTAGTGGTAGACAGAATTGGCAGACAGAATCTAGGTTGATGTTGAATAACCCCAGTGAGCCTGCACCTTTAGTTCCACTGAATTTCAGGCTGGTTTCTGCCTGCAAGTCTAGAACTAGAATTGTTCAGCCTGCAACACTCTATGTGCCTCTTGATGACTTAAATTCAGCTCCTTGACCTCTGGTAGACTTGAACTCGGTTCCACCTCATTCTAACACTGGAACTGCTAGATGGAGCCACCTGTAGCTGCTCTGAGTTCCAAGCTCAGTTAGCACCTCTCCAAGATGGCTACTGGCTGGCTATCACACTCTCTGGGGGAATGTCTGAACTTGAATAATTCACCAGCTGCTGCAGTGTGCTGTGTCCACTAATCTGTTCCACTAATCTGGTGTGTTTCTCTGTAGGCTCCTTTGGGGTTGACAGTAGTCACCATGCATTTGTAGGTTCAAGCTACCCCTTTCACACAGTGAGTCAGGGCTCAGGGAAAAAGCACCATTTGCCACCTTCTCCATCTGCATTAAAATCTCTCTCTTTGCTTTCCCCATAGGCTTCTATTCTCACTTCAGATCCTTGCTGGGGACCCGCTTCCCTCCTTCTTCTCTTTCTCACATTTCTATATTCCAGTTTGGACACCAAATCTTGGAGAAGCTATTTCTCTGCTGTTCACTCTGCCATCTTGGAAATTCTCAAGTCTAATTTATTGTCTTCTGAAGGATTTGATCTCTGGCCTTATCTCTCTTAGTCTCATCTCTTTGTAACAGGACTGCTGGTTTTTCCTCTGAACAAATATCTATATCCCTAAAATGAGACTTCCTTCCTTGTGAGAGATCTCTGCTGCCATCCTGGACCTGTATGAAATCCTCTGGGTCCCCTTCTCTAAAAGCAACAGGAGGCCTCCAGGATCACCAGTTCTTTTCTCTACAGGTGTGTGGACATGATGATAAAAGCACTCACATCAAGCACCATCAAGAGCTTCTACCTGGCTGGCTGCAGGGTGAGAACACATAGCTTTTGGGGCATGGGGAGTGAGGGAGGGTTGGGAGAGCTTGAAGAGCATTTCTGATTCTGAGATTGTTACCTTCCAGTTCCAGTTCCAAATAATTTATTCAAAGGCACCAGTTTAAAGGTAGAATGATATAATTTTACTAAGTGAACACATTTGTTTTTAAGAAATTTGTTTCTGGGCCGGGGATTTAGCTCAGTGATCCTGCTGCCTGCCTTGAAAGTGCAATGTCTTGAATTTAATCCCCGATACCCCCCAAACAAAATCTGGGTTTTTTTCCCCTTTTTCTTTAAAAAGTTGAATTAATAGCAAAAAAGGTAGAGGGGAAAATTTAGGATTGGGAGCTGAAGGGTAAGCTTTCCCATCACTGAGATACAATACCCAATACCCACAACTTAAAGGAGTAGAGATTTAATTTAGTTCACTGTCTAGAGATTCGGTACATGATTGATTGACTGGCTCCATGATAGAATCTCATGGCAAAAGGATGTGATGGAGCAAATCTCCTTAGTGCACGGCAGCCAGGAAGTAGGGCAAGAGTGCCAGAGAAATGAGTCAGAGACCATATATAGAACCTGAGGTCAGACTGCCATGGCCCACCTGGACATATGGGGGAGCATGCTTTATTAATGTGCTAAGTATTTCTTAGTCAAATGAAGTTGACATGTCAGGATTAATAGTCAGCCAGTAGGGCCTGCCTTACCAGAGCACAAAAACCTTTCAGGATATTCTGCTGGAACCATGAGACCTTGTCCTACCTGGGACCAGTATGTCAGCGTTGAGAACAAAGGATACATTTAGCCCTCAATATCAGAAAAGAGGAAAGGAACAAACTGCTCAGGGTGACCAGCTGCCAAGGAGAAGCGCCTCTAAACTCTAATACCTCTGGCCTCCTGATTCCAGCTCCCTTCTCAGGGCCACTTTTGACTTAGAAACACTTATACCGTGAGTCAGACTTGTGTAAGGGAAGCATTTGATTTGTGCACTGCCAACATGTCAGGAAGGTACTTATCAGCACATCTAAGAATATTTTAAAGGCCTGCTTGCCAAAATGCCAAAATATTGTCCTCACCTTTTCTCCATGGTTTTAGAAAGTCACTCTAAGTGATATCTTTACGTTCTGGTTAGCACCCACCTCCACTCTGAAGACATGAAATGTGTACTAAAACCTCTCAAATCCCTATCTTCTGAGAGCCTTTTCCACTGTCCCTGTCCTTTAATTTTTGCTTCTAAAATGTGTGTATATGACACTCAGAGCTCCAAGTGGACTTCCCTTCCCAGGCCCTTTCAGATCTGGTTTCTGACCTCAGCCCAGGGATTTCAGTGTGCAGGGCCTGTGGTCAGGCAACCTGTGTGTGTGTCCAGCTCAGCTGCTTACTAGTGTGTGACTACAAGAAAAGCTAGAACCTGGCGGCCTTGGTCCATCCAGTAAAATGGTAGTAACATGGAGCTGCCCTCCTAGGGTTGCAATGAGGATTGGTTTAAATCACCCAAGTGCAATACCCTGAGCATAGTAAATGCCCACTGCTGTAATTTGCGTGTTTTGTACAAAGGGAACATATATCCAGCAGACTTTCACAAGTGTGTGTCTGTAGCATCAGTGTAAACCAGCAGAGGGTGCTGAGAGTCAGGATTCCTTCATTAAGGGGCTTGTTTTGCCTTCTCAGTACAAAGAAGAGCGGCTCACCAAGGCCTGTGAGAAGTGGCTGGAAATGAACTTGGTCCCTCTGCTGGGGACACAGCTCCACCTCCGCTATATCCCACAGGATCTGCTCCACAAGGTGCTGAAGTCCCCCAGGTCAGAGTTGGTTTTGGGCATGCTGGCCCTGGGATGGGCAAGGGAGGAAGCCAGGGAAGGAAATGCTTCAGTGGGGACGGTACCCACACCCCTATTGGACCTGCCCATGCCACCATCACCCAGGATTCCAAACTTTCTGCTCTCCCAGATAGCCTGGCCTCAGGAGGGAGCTGACACTCAGGGTACCATGGTATATTCAGGGTGCAATTTAGGCTCATGCTGTAAGGTAGGGACTTTCTGAGCACCAGGTGACACATGACCTGCCTGGATGAGAAAAGTTAAAGACCTGAGTAAATTTTATACAAGTCCTGATAACAATAATATACATTCTGGAAAATTTGAAAAACAGGGAAAAGCAGAAAAGAAGAAGAGGAAGAAGAAGAAAAAGAAGAAAAAAACCTCTTGCATTAAATCACTTTATATCTCTGGCACTGACTCCTCTGTTGAATGGTTCTCTATCAAGGTATCTGACTGCCTGCTTGGACTTTCTGACAAGGCTAAAACCTAACTCTCAGTGTCCCCTGCCCTTTACTGTATCCCCATCCACCCCACCGATCATCGACTGTATGTTCAAGCTGCAGCCTAGAGAGCCCTCTGGGTACCATTTTGACTTCACCTTGACCACAAGACCAGTTCTGCTTCTAGACTAAATTCATGCCTATGGGCCTCTCTCTATGGTCACCAGCCAAGGCCAAACCCCCATCATTTCTCATTTGGATGCTGCAGGGCTCTTTGATTCAGTGTCTTCCTTCTTGCCTTGACCCCACATCTGCTCCTCCATCTCACACACCAAGAAGCAGCCAAATGGGCCCTCTTTAGTCTGTCTGCTGAGCTCCTTCCCCTAACACTGCCTGCTCCTTCTCTTCCCTGCCAGTAGTTCATAGAACCATTCTTAGTTCTTAACTTTTATATTATTTCCAGTGTTTTACCAATATAAATAGCACTTTGGTGAATATCCATCAAGTTACATTTTTCTTTATCCAAGATGATTTTCCTGCATTGCATTTCTGAAAGTGAAATTACCAAGAGAATGGGACTTTCTGTTTGTTATTAGTCGGTTTTTTTTTTAATTGTTTTGGTACCAGGGATTGTACTTGGGACCTTGAGCTTGCAAGGCAGGTGGTGGAACCACTGAGCTAAATCCCCGACCCTGTTTGTTATTAGTCTTTAAGAATACTTTATTTGAAAATGATTTCAAACTTAAAGAAAAAAGAGCAATAGAAGAATATCTGTGCAGATGCTTTTCAACTTACAGTGGACTTACATCTCAATTTTAAACCATTTGTAATTTGAAAATGCATCGAGTACCTCTAACCACCCCACCATCACAGGCTCACGACACAGTACACAAGAAGGCATCAGTTGTTCCCTTTCCGAGTCACGTGGCTGACTGGGCGCGGTGGCTCACTGCCACTGCCTAATGTCACAAGAGAACCCATCACTAGGCCACAAAGAGACCAAAACTCAAAATCAGAAGAACAATTTCTACTGAATGCATAGAACTTTCATAACATCATAAAAATGAAAAGCTATAACTCACACCATCACAAGTTGGGACCAGTTGTATGCCCTTTACACCGAGTCACCCTATTTAATTTCTGCCCCATTTACTTTATTATTGGTATCTATATTCATATCTACCAACACCCATATTTTTTTTCTAAACAATTTGAGAATAAGTTGCATATATCATGTTCCTTTACCCCCAAATATTTCAGCATTTATTTCCTAGGAGAATGAATTTAATTCAACCACAGAGTGATGATCACTGACAAGAAATTTATCATTGGGCTGGGGATTTAGCTCAGTGGCACCACACCTGCCTGGCAAGTGCAAGGTCCTGAGTTTGATCCTGGTACTGGAAAAAAAAAAATCATCATTGAAGAATAATTTTGTGTCATTGAATGAGTATTATCTTCAGTAGCACTTCGCCCCTCCAATGCAGAAGTCAGTTTAGGGTCACATATTGCATATAGTTGCTAAGTCTCTTTGGGAATCTTGAAAATGTTCTTGCTCCCCATTGCCAAGTTTCCAAGGTTGTGTTCCTTTTGAATGAATTTCCAAAGTGAAGACTGAATTCTACTAAAAATCTTAGTAGTATATTAGAAAGTAAGTGTTTACTCATCCTTATGTTCTGGAAAGTGTTCTTTCTGTTTCCGTAAATTAGATTTGGGAGGATTTATTCTGTTCCAGATCATTAACCCATTCCATGGGTTTGAATTTGCCAAGTGGCACGCAATGCCCTTACATTTGCAGAAACCTGAGGTTGGCAGGACAGCAGCCGGGAGCTGAGGGAGACCACCTTATTTAAGTCTTCAGGAGGCTGGGGATATAGCTCAGTGGTGGAGTGCTTGCCTAACATGTTGAAGGCCCTAGCATGTTTGAGGAGGAGGTTGGAGTGGGGGGTAAAGATGAAGGACAAAGACAAGGAAGAGGAGGAGGGAGAAGGGAAAATAAGACAACCCCCTCAGAAGCCCTGGACCCAGGGCTCTAGCACTCCCCAGGGGCATTCTGCTCTGGTCCCCTCTGCTTTTCCCACTCATGCACCCCCCACCCTCTACTCCACCCTCCAGCGGAGCAAAGACTGTGAAATCGTTGAAGAACAACTAATCATGGCATCTCTTAGACTTTTTTTCATAGCATTGTCCTCTTCTTGGAAAGGCTGAGTTATCCCATCCTGGTAGCATTTAATCAAAAAGAGAAAAAAAAATCTGACCACAACCAGAACATTGGTGACAGTACAGGCCTGACAAAATGCACACTGAGTAGGAAAAGAGGTCAGGAGCATGACGTGTCAAATGTCTAGACTTGCCAGCCTGGGCAGACATGACTGAGGTGGAACAGCCCTGCCCCTCAGCCTCCCCAGGCCGTGTCTGCACAGACCATCCAGCGCTGTCCTGCTGAGGAGGGCAGAGTTCTGTGTGGCCTCAGGCCTGTCACAGGCCCCGGAGTGGGCAAGGGAAGGATGACAGGGCCCACAGTCTGCAGACTCACCATATAATCTTTTGTTGATCTCCAGGGGCTGCCTATTTTACAGGGCAACTGGTAGAAACTGAACCAGGTTTGGGGACCTCAATGAGGATGCCTGAGGTCCAGCCTAGTGGCTAATGGGTTTGGTGCCATGACTTACACTTGGTTAAAAATGAACGTGCTTTCACGGAGTACTTCTTGGTGTGAGCTGTGCTATGTATGCTGTCCCCTTTAGTCCTCATAGCCTCACGGAGTAGGTACAACCGTTATCCCTTATATAAGAAGGCTAGTGAAGCTGTACATGGTGATGCATACCTGTAATTCCAGCTCCCTAGGAGGCTGAGGCAGGAAGATTGCAAGTTTGAGCCTATTCCAGGCAACTTTCCAAGACTGGATTTTAAAACAAAAAGGGCTGGGGATATGGATCAAGTGAAGGTCCTAGATTCAATCCCCAGTACAAAAAAAAAAGCTAATAAAGGGCTGGGTGGGCCTTTACAGGCTGCAGGATCCCCCACTGTTACCCTCTTCCTTGTTCATTGTGGCAGCTGAGGAGTCCAGGCACCTGGAAGAGCTCAGTGAGGCCTGGGGTATCCTGAGAAGTCTTAGTCCCAGAGTGGGAAGAGTGGTGACACCAAACCATAGTCAGGGATAGAGCATCCTTTGGCCCCACTTAGCTGCTCCTTCAGCTGCCCACTGTCACCTGACACTCAACTTGTGACCACAGGTGTTTGGAACAGCTATTTCTTAGCAGATGCATAACTTCTGGGCCATTCACCCTTTCCGATCTGACCTCATCTCTTTGGGGGGTTTTGCTTTCCATTTTGTAAACAACCTAGGGTAAGACATACACAGTTTTCCTGACCTCCTGCACCTCTGGTTTTAATTTATTTGTCTAGGCATTTGGTGTTTGGTTAATTTTCTCCTTAGAGGTCACCGCCAGGTTACTCTCTTCTCGCAACTCGAATTCATGAAAACTTCATTTCAAACTCTACTTCCCTTGTTCTTTGTAGGTTTCAGAGAATGGAGACCTCAGAACACTATCTAGCTCCCCTCTACTTTGCAACAGACATCCTATGTCCCTGATCCCAGTTCTTCCGGCTTCTTGTCTGTGGTTCAGTGAGTCTCAAGGTCTCAGGAGTTCCCTATGAAAAGCCATCCTGTCCTCCTTGTCATCTCTGATCTGAGCTTTACCTACAGGGTAGGACAATAAGTATCTCACACTAGCATTTGGAACATCAGTAGGCACCTACCTATCTCAATAATTGTTACTAAAGTCAGTGTTTGTAGTGAACAACATTGATACCTACTAGTTATTGAGCACCTGTTGTATACAGAACACTCCAAGTGGGTTATCTAGCCTGAACCATTCCCATAGCAACTCAGTGGGCTAGGTACTGTCACTTGCACTTTTTGCCTGTGAAAGGAGGTTACAGGGAAAGAAATGATTAGCTGAAGACCCCCACTATGCAGCCGGAGAGTTGGGAATGGACCTGGGTCAGAGTGGCCTCAAAACAGTGGTCGTTACCGGCCTACTGGTGGGCTATGCACAGGGCCTTTTTTTCCCTTGACGGTCAAGATCAATAATATTAATATAGGCATGGCTTTCTCTATATTCAGAAGGGGGCTTTTATTGTTTAAATATAAGTTTCTTAACAATAAAATAAAAAGGATAATGTCTTCTGAAAGGCATTTCTTCTCTGAAGAGCAAATACCATTTACACTGCAAGGACTACCAGCAAACACGCGTGACACAGCCTCGTTATTCACCTCTGTTGGACGCAGGCTTGTGTGCCATGAGATATGTCTGGAGTGAGGCCATCACAGCTCTTGGGTGCAGGAAATGTGTTTGGATGCTGCTGTGTGGTTTTGTGCTGCTGGAGCTAAAAAGACCTTGGGGTACTGATACTGGTCTAACAGCAGAAAGCTTTAATTCAGTAGTTGTCCTTCCTATATAAAACCAGGATTTCAAGTCATGGAGTCCTGATTCCTCCCCAAGCCACTGCTAGCCCCTCTTTGGTAAGATCTCAGAGAACCCACCGGGCTCGAGGACCTCAGTATGTAGTCTGCTCTGGAAGTCACGCAGCTTCCCCAGACCCAGATGACAAAGCTTTCTGTGAGGATATTGCACCCAGAGGCTCTGCAGAATCTCCTTTCTGCCTCGCTGTCGTTGCCCAGTCACTGACCAACTTGATCTTGTCTGGCCAGATGCGAGCCTGTGCATCTGTAGGTGGTCTGAAAGCCAAATCAGGGGAACAAGACTGTTCTACTCTGTCCAGAAATAGCGTGAGAAGTGGGTGGATGACATTTCCATTGCTCTTTAGAGTCACGATTTAGCTTGAGTTCCGCCCACCATGACCCCTTAACGTGGTGAATGAAGAGACTGTGACATATTTTACAGCCCGGGTGCCATGTTCATGTCCAGGAACTAAAAATATCAATGAGTTTAGGAAACACTGAAAATGGCTCTTTATGTAATCATGTCAGCAGAGGCTGCTGGAGAAACTGCTAGAGAAGCTGCTTGTCCTTGCTGTATAGAGCTGATGTTACAGAGCACAGCAGCCGCTTGTTGGCATCATGAGTTCAGGACTCCTGCTGCTGTAATTGTAGAGTGAGAGTGGGCTCTGGAGCCGGGACAGGGCCTTGCCACTTACAAGGAAGCCCTGCCAATTGCTGAGCACATTGCCATGTTCCAGGCACTGTACCAAGCACATTGTTTATGTGTGGTCAGCAGAATAATGACCCCAAAGATACCCAACTTCTCTCTGCAGAACCTGTGACTATGTTAGGTTGTATAGCAAAGGGGATTGAAATTACGGATTGCATCTAATCAGCTGGCTTCAAGATGGAAGATTATCCTAGATTATTAAAGGTAAACCCAATATAATCATGAGTCCTTTAAAGCTGAAAAGTGAGGTAGAAAAGTCAGAACCAGAGTGAGACTGGAGGATGCTGTAATGCTGGCTTGGAGATCAAGGAAGGGGCCATGAGCCAAGGAATGTGGGCTCTTTCCAGAGGTTGCGCAATGCCAGGAAATTATTCTCCAGAGGGAACTAGGCCTGCTCAGACCTCCATTGAAACCCGGTAAGAACCATTTTGTATTTCTGGCCACCAGAACTCTAAGAGAATAAACTTTTATTGTTTGAAGCCACTCAGTTTGTCTTGGTTTGGGCCGATAGGAAGCTCTTATAATGTCACCTCCTTTGGTCTTCAACACTCTCCCCTGAGCAACTGTTATTACTGTTTTTTCACAGATGAGAAAATTGCAGATGCTGAGCAGTTTAGCAACAGAGGAGAGGTTACTGACCCATGTCCAGGTCCTAGCCCAGAACTGTGTGACACTGGATAAATTATTCCCATTCAGCCAGCAATCAGGGGCAGGATTGGGTGTAGCGAATGAGGCACTTGCTTTGGGTACAAAATTTAAGAAAGGCGATGAAAAAACTCGGGTGTTAAGATAAATTATATTTTTGTGCAATACTTCCAAATAAAATTTAAAAAGCCATAATGAACAAAATTTTAAACAAATTTCCACATGTATTAAAGTAAATTTAATACCCAGAGTTTGCAGGATTATAAGAGGGACTAAAGTTTAAAATCCACACAAAACATCTTGTGCACCCCAAGCATTTAGATCTCATTAAATGGTGACATTGTTTATGGGAGCACAGTGCAGGGGGCGTGTTTCAAAGCACAGAGCTCAGTGTCAGGCTGCTGAAGTTTAAGTCCCAGCTCTGCCTCTTACCAGGCACCAGGCGAGGGACCCTAATTGAGTCCTTTAACTTCTCCTGGTCTGAGCCACCTACAGACTCCCAGTGTTGTCGCTTCACTGCTGAACTCACATGAAATGGTGTGGCTTGTTTGTGTATCCTAAAATTTCTTCTCTACTTTTTATTTTTACCAGGTTGTTTACATTTAGTGAGTTCCATCTTCTGAAAACCTTACTCTTGTGGGTCTACTTGCAACTGAACAGAAATATCCAGGTGATTCCAGTCAATGAGACTGTGCTGACCTATTTCAACAGGTAATAGGATTTGGTTGTGGGTGATGAAATGCACCTACCCTGGGGTTTTGTTATTGTTGCTCATAATATCACAGGACAAGCATCCGTGATATAACTTTCATAACGTCATACAGAAGGCACAGAATACAAATTCTTTTAGATCATAGGGTACCTTTGCACCACTACACTATTTGGAAAAGTAAATAGCACATGTTATGATATGAGATGATAGAGTGTTTCTGGGAACTTGTGTGTCCAGTAATAGACATGATTCAAAACCTACTCCTTTTATTCAGGAAAATTATCGTACTACACCAACCTGAAAAGCTTCACTTTTTAGTGTACTTAAATCAGACCAATTCATTCCCATGTACATTTCACAACACATACAATTTTTGGTTTTCTGGAGAAAAAAAAAACCATGCAACTATACAAAGGTTTCATAGCATTTTCCCCATTTCTTATATTCCCTAAACTTATAAAATCTAAAATTCATGTTTCAGCTTTTAAGTGAAAAGTGACAATAGAGCCACTGTAAAATATGCATTGCTAAGTATGATAACTCTGGTAAGCACTTCCTACTCACTATCTTAGTTTATCTGCATAACCAAAAAAAAAACCATGCAACTATACAAAGGTTTCATAGCATTTTCCCCATTTCTTATATTCCCTAAACTTATAAAATCTAAAATTCATGTTTCAGCTTTTAAGTGAAAAGTGACAATAGAGCCACTGTAAAATATGCATTGCTAAGTATGATAACTCTGGTAAGCACTTCCTACTCACTATCTTAGTTTATCTGCATAACCCTTAGCAGTGGACATTATTATTCCCACGTTACACATGGAAAAAGTGACACTGAAATATCTTGTCAGAGATCATACAAAGCGATAAAGGAGCTGACTCGAATGCAGATCTGCCATAGCCCAGGATGCTTTGGTGCCCATTCTTAGAGCAGCAGAGTGTGTTGTTTTCCTCTCTGGTGTCCATGCCAGCAGTTCAGTGGTAGCTCCCCAGGTATGAAGTTAGAAAGATCCTGAGGCTGTCTCTAGATTTGGTGTTGTTGTTAGTCAGGGGCTTCTAAAATTACTTTGATGGGCATTTTCTTTCTGTTCCTCTTTTTCCCTCCACTAGTGAGTGCTTTCTAAACTACCCTCTTAGGGCTGGGGATTTAGCTCAGTGCTGTAGCTGCCTGCCTCGAAAGCATAAGGTCCTGAGTTCGATCCCCAGTACCCCCCAAAAAAAGCCTAAACTACTCTCTTAGCAAGATCTGTTGTAGCAACCTAGGGGTGGGGCATTATGCAGTGAAGGTAATTGCTGGGGTCCATTTTTTGTCACCTTAGCTTCTTCTGTCAGTCACTCTATCACTGTGACAGAATACTTGAGATTATAAACTTTTATTTTGGCTCATGGCTCAGAGGTTTCAGTCCGTGGTTGGTCGGGTGTGTTGCCTTCGGGCCTGTTTTGGGGTAGAATTTTACAGTGGGAATGCATAGTAGAGTGAAACTGCTCACCTCATGGTGGTAGGGAAGCAAAGAAAGGAAGGGGCTCCTATCAAAGACGCACACTAATGACCCAACATCTTCCCATTAGCCCTACCTCCTCAAGGTTCCACCACTTCCCAGGAGCACCACTGGCCGGGTACCACATGGGCCCTTTGGGGACATTTCAAATCCAAACTATAACGTTTCTGTCAAAACTTTTGGAATAATGCTTACATCATCCAAGCTGGCTGACAAATACAGTGACCCTAAAGCCACAGACAGTCCCAGGTGGCTCTCAGAGAGTCCTCTCTACACAGGAAGTCACTGGTAGCATTACCGTCATCATCTGGCTCATGTTTCTGTTCCCCATACGAACAGGAAGGGGGCCCTCCAAGTATGATGAGGCACATTCAAGGAAGTAGAGACATACTGTTTCTTTTGCATTTGTAAATTTAGCACATGAATATGTCTTCACATATTAATCAGTGGATTGAACCATTTAAGCCAAGTTTCATTAACACTGTTTTGAAGCATTTAATCCATTCTTGGAACATCTTGGCACCATGTTAACCAAAAAGCCTGTTTTTCTGATGTGTTATTTGGGGAAAGCGGTGTTCAGAGCCAGAATTACATGTAGTGTGCTTAGTGTGTGTATAATTTTGAACCCAAATGTTTGAGCCCCTCCACCCACCTCTTTTAATAGCTCATGAGACAGTCTTTCCAATGAGTCACGCACACCAGGGGGACTTGCCACTTGGCTGCAGGTCAGCTCTCATCCTGAAAGTCCTCAGCACCAGGAGATAGGAAACAAACTCGTGTGGGGTGATTCATAAGTGTTGTGTTTTTGGTGTGAGAGAAACATGTGGGAAGGAGGGAGTTGAGCTCTGCAGCCCCCTCCACCCAGGTTAGGCTATGTGCCCTTCATAGCAGCCCCCAGGACTCCTCCCCAGAGCATGATGCACATGGGCCCTGCTCCTCCTTAGAGCTTTCCATGTTTCTCTGGAATCTACATGGACTCAGTTCTGACCCCCAAGCTTCCTATCTCTACATGACATTTCCTCAAGCCCCCCCCCCGCCCCCCGATCCTGCACAACTTGTCTTGCGGGAAACCATGTGCTTGTATCTAAGTCATCTCATACCCTGGCCTAAGCAAAAGTGATGATATCTTAGCAAAGGACCTGAGTCCTTGCAGTTGCATGGGCTTTCCACACAGCCAGCCACCAGCTGGAGTCAGTTCCTCCTCTGTGCCATCTGCCCTCTACAGTAAGCTTGGGTTGGAATAGGAGAAAGATGGAAATCCTTACCTGCAATCACCCAAGGGTCTTTTCTGCTCATGACCTCTCAGCCTGAAGGACCACATAGCTCATTTTTAGAACTATGAATGGTTCTCTTCCTATCCTGGATCACTCTTCTGTCCCAGAGCAGTGGCACCTCTAAGATGACCCTCTGTCAGGGGCCTCCACCTCCCAAATGTACTCCTTCACTGAGGTATGAGCCTTCTCTGTGCCTGCCTAAACCACCTCAGTCTGCCCTGCTTCCTTTTCTCAGTCTGTCTCTGGTGAGGGCCTCCCTGAAGAGCCTCTGATGAAGTCCTTCGTTCAAGTCATGTCCCATCTTCCTAGTTGCATCACAGAAGCTTAAAGACAGGGTTTATGATCTTGCATCTTGCCCTCAACTTGCCTGGCATCTTGCTGGACATAGAATAGTTTATTGAATGATAAAGTTCTGTTAACTATTTTTACGTAAATCAGTTTTTCTCAGAGAAGTGGGTCTTAATATGCTGGTACAAAATTCAGAAGACATGATATTTGTAGCAACTTGAAGTAGTAGGAATGGCAGGCAAGTTTCCATTTTTATGGATGGGTAGTTTGTCTTGTGCACTGGGCCAAGACAGATTCTAAGTTTTTCTGCAGGCTCGGTGAGAACGTGTGGTGGGTTAGTGCATCTACTCTGGACATGGGATAGGGACTGGTGGCCCCATGCTCCATATTTTTCCTCCTTCCTGATTGTCCCAAGGGCTGACCAGACTCCGTGTAGGACTTGGAGCTTTGGGCCTAGTGGGGCTGGTATCTGGAAGATTCAGGCTCCCAGAAGGCACCTCTGTTCCTGGCAGTGGTGGCAGGACCCTGTCAGCTGAGGTCAGAACTAGGTCACCATGCATGTTGAGCTGCAAAGACCAATGAGGCCCAGGGAGTGGCTAATCAAGGAAGATTCATAGGAAGACATAGCAGAGCATTTAAAGGTGGGAGGCAGGACACAGGTTTGGGAATGAGAACTGAGGCGGGTGACTGGCAGTGTTTAAAGTTGCAAGTATTGATGAAATAATTTAAATGACAGAATGATCTATAAGCCATCTCCTAGGGAGGAGGAAAAGCAGGCAAAGTAGACATTCTGAGGCTGTCACCTCACAGGGATCTCCAAAGTGGGGCTGTCATAGTATGGCAACAGTGGGTCAAGCTATAGAAATAGAAATGATGGATAGCAAGGGCTTGTGAGTCTACTAGGACTGAGGGGCTGTACCTGTGGGACTGGCTTGGCCATCCTGGCATCGGGAAAGAGGGCTGGGAAGAGTAATTGACTAAAATGGCTCAGATAACCTCTTCCTCACCTGTCCAAGCAGCATCCTAAGACAAGCTAGGAGAAAAGAAAGACATATGTCCAAGCCTTTTCTACTCCTGTTTTTTTCTTTCATTGATTGTTTTCAATCTTTTGTTCATCCCGAAAATATTTATTGAATATGTCCTGTGTATCACTTCTCAGCCTTTTGGCTAAGATCAAGTGACTATGTGCTGCATGCCCGGGAAACTAATAGAAACTTTCTCTACTCAGCCAGAAGTATCAGAACATCTCCTTCAAGCTCTTTTTCCCATTCTTTTAATACCGTCTCATTATGTAGTCATTTTGTAGCCTGAGCTGTCCTTGAACTCACAATGTAACCAGGGCTGAGTTAGAATTTAGGAACCTCCTGCCTCAGCCTCTGGGTACTGGGATTATGGCCATGTGTCACTAGGACCGGCTTCAAACTTGTTTTTATTGCTGTCTAAATTCATCATTGGAAGAATGGAACATGGATACCCAGGCACATTTGTGTACACACACTGGCATGTGTACAACACATAGGCACACACAAATGCGGACATACTTGTACACACATAAGTGTGTGTGCAGTTCTGTCTGTCTCTCTCTGTCTCCCCTTGGAAACCTACATCCTGTCTTCCTGGCAGTGGTTAGTTTAGAAAAACAAATAGGCTGTCCAGAATTAATTTTAACATCTACTTGTAGGAAAAAATATGTAAGCAAAGCCATGCTTTCATCCAAAGAGAAAAGTCATCATTTCATTCCACGTAGAAGTCTGAAAAGTTCAGGAAAATTGAAAATTTCTCAACTGGAGAAGATCCAACAGAGACAAATTTTAAACTTTTTAAAGCATATATATATA